ATTCAGCAATTTATTTTTATATTTTGGAATCTAATTGAATTCATTTAAAATATGAGGCACTCTGTCCTAACCCATTTCCAGAAATAACAGTCTATACAGTTGTTACCTGCACATTTTCAGATACGATACATATGGACCACAAAGGTGACTCAGGTCTACCATTTTACATAATTTTTAGAAGGATAGAGGAATATATGTGCCTCATAAAAGTGTGCTGATCTATAATAATAAAAGTGAAATATGCTAATTAGACCAGATACCCTTCCGGAGGTCCTTCCAGATGACCTTCCAGATAAAGCCGGGGTTGTGAGGGAACCCCGGGTCCTGGGTGCCAGAGGGAAGCCCGTGCCAGCAGCTGGGGTAAGGAAGGCCTACTCCTGCACAAATTTTGTGCATCAGGCCTCTAGTGTAGTAATAATAACACTATCTTTAATTATGCTTTTGTACTTTTCAAATAGTTGAATAATTGGATACATTAGAAAAATATTGTCTGATATTGTCCACCTGTTAAAACCAATGCTGTTATTTGTAATCCCAAATTATTCTCTACAGCATCATATCTGTGGGAGTAGCCAAATACATCAGCGATTGGGTTTACTAGATGCTTTCTCTTTATTGCCATTTTTATAACTAACAGAGTAAGATGCATCCTTGTACATTGAAAAGAATACTCCTATGTATTCTCCTCTACACACACTCACAATACCTCTGACACCAGATATGTGGGTTTACTCCAAACAACTGACCAATTCTCTGACACCAGCTGAATGTCCGACATTTCAATTTAATTCTGGCACTGTCTGCCTGTAGTTAGATTCTGATCCCCCAGGTTAACAGCTCAGTTTCATAAGGCTGCTCCCACTTCAGATGTCAGTCAATCATCTACACTAATAAAAGAGAAAAATGGTAATTGGCGTACGACGCTAACCTTTTCATTGGCTAATCAGGGCTATATGCAAATTAACTGCCAACTAAGATTGTCAGTTAACTGCCAACAAGATGGCGGTTAATTTGCATATGTAGGCACAATGCAGGGAGGTGAAAGGGAAAGCAGGAAGAAGCCCCCTGCCACTGACAGTGATCAGAAACCCAGGGGGGAGCTAAGAGCTGGGGGGCAGGGCAAA